TATTATTATTATTATTATTATTATTATTATTATTATTATTATCATTATCATTATCATTATCATTATTAGCACTATAATTATTGCCGTTGTTACGATTATCACTGTAATCGTAGTGTTTCAGAAGCTATAATTCAACTTATGCGAGCTCACCAGCTGCTGCCGCTGTCTACAATGCCGCAGTGCAATCTCAGACGACACCACATACGCCGACGATCGGCGCTGCTGTAGGCGCCACAAATCCGACAAGTGTCTATGCCAGGTAAGCAGCTGATATCTTCGATCCCACCAAAGACACTTCTTTATCATGCAGCGCGTTCTACACATAAGAGGGGGTCACATAATGATTTATGGCTTTTTATTAGGAATTACGCAACGAGCAATTGCACCACTGTGATGCAACACCCCTGGTCGCCGGTTCAACTTTTGGGCACGCTCTGCCTCGTTAAAATTTTGCAATCTTAGTAATCTGTAACCACTGGCGTATAAAAGCACTCCTTCTCATCTCCGGCATCCAGAGTCCACTACTCTGTTCTGGGGAGCTCCGGATGCAATATTATCGCATTAATTTTTAGCGATCATTTTTGTTGGTTTCCGTTTATTATTCGATTGTACATGTAAATATATGTATGTGTGTACAATATAGGCAGTGGGTGCTAACTGGAGGTATGCAGCTCTGAGAATGAAGTGCCTAGCATAGCTGTAGTCGGCGCTTAGGAACATTCCAGTAACATCACTAACACGGAGCGACTGGTTTTTGCGCTTGCATAAAGTCAAAAAATTAGTAGTGAGCCGTAATTTTCCCTATTAATTACTTTGTCCAGTAAAACAAAAATTAATAAATTTTACATTCTCTACTCTGTTTGTGCCTATTAACGTATCCAAAGGAATGCAAATTCCTTTTTTTTTGCAGTTTTTCGACTGCAGCAGCGCCAACACCTTCACCATACGCTGCAGCATATGCGACTAACCCCACAGCAGCAGCATATGCGCAGTATGGACAAACTGCAGCCGCAGTTGCATCACTGCAGCAACAGCAGCAGCAGCAAGTGCAGCAACAGGTGCAACAACAGGTTCCTAGTGCATTCAGTGAATTAATACGTTGACGATTGAAAAAAGGGTCCGATATGCAGGCAGTTGATGCTTGATTTGCATGGCTGCATTGTGTTCTCTTCTTTTTGTCATACATATCGGATTGGCAAAAATGCCAGACCAACTTGGGTCGCAGGCAAAAATCACAGGGGCCATCGATTGCACTCAAAATCGACATACAGATGACTGTTATTCTTGCCTGTTTTTCGATTATTTGGGCTCTTTTTTGAGTACATACTTCTGTGCCCTATATCTATGTGAAGACGAAGGAAGGGGTCACTTATGCCGTTAAAATTCGATGTTCAAATAAATGAAATTTTGATTGTGAATTTTTGCACATTTTTGTTGTACTTGTTATACGGTAAGCTACCGTATACCGTATGACAAGTACCGTATGCCGAATAATTCATCGGTCACTGTTCAGTTTGTGGTGTGGTACAGGAAAAGAGTGTTATCATTTGAAGTTCGTCAGCTGTCTTCTTTTCTCACTGTGTTTGAAATGTGTAAAAATATGTCAGTAGCAGTGAGCTGATGATCAAATTCTTTGCAGAACTACAATAATTTGCAGTTGCAAGCTGCTGCAGCGGCAACTGGTGTTGTTAGCGCATCTGCGGCTGCTTATCCGGGACCGACTGCAACTCGGCTCACCGACACCTACAATACGATTGGTAGCGTCTCGTCAACTGGCAGTGCCTATGCCTCGTTACCAGGTTGGTTGTGCTTATTCTGCGCTTACGGAATTTCGATTTTTTGGGCATTATTAGGACAAAGGATGTGGAGGAGAACCAGAATTAAATGTGGAAAAATTAGGATGTGAAGGAATCGCAGTTTATGCATCAAAGGCGGTGCTTCGAAATCTGTATTTTTGTGCTGTACTGAGCGTGTTTTTTGCAGATTACACGAGCTCGTTGCGTACAGCAGCAGCGGCGGCTGCCTCAGCGGTAACGAATCCGACCAGCAACAGCTCGTTCCTTGGTGTCACTCGAATTGGCCCAGCAATAACCAGTCAGCCGGCCAACAGTGCACTCGCAACGATACCGACAACTGGCACAAACAACACGAGCATCCTGCAAAAGTTCACAAGTACCGAAGCACTCTGTTTTTGCATTAAGCATCCCCTATTTCTGCTCTGTTGCCGAACCTCGGCTTCTTGCATCATTTTGAGGACGAACCACCCCTCTCCCCGTCCCCCCTTCCCGTCTCACGGCCAAGCTTCGGCCGTTCTCACTCCCTTTAATGGTAATCATAATTGAGGCACAATCATTTCTTCCCGATGTGCTTATCACCTTTGCTGGGATACTTTTTTTTGTCAGTAACCTTTCTTTACTTTGATCCCTTGGAGGGCCTTTTTTCCCCACTTTTATGTTCCTCGCCATCAGTACAGCGACTTCTTCATTACTGTTGAGTATCTGGATCCCCCACCTGGTCAAGCCGGTGCTGGTCAAAGCAACTGAGCAAGTGTTCCTCCATCTTTCCAGGTTGCTTTGACCGGCACCGCCTTGCCTGATGGTCAGCCTGCTAGCGATTTCAACGTTTTTTTCATTTCCTAAGCGGTTTATCAGTTCGGCGATTCTTCCACCAAAAACATTTTGCAAGTTCTTAGCCGTTTCGAAATTTCCTTGCCATCGTGTTGAGTATTACTGCCTCGTCTTGAACCGTGCTACCTTTAAACTATGATGAAAATTACTTGTCGACTCAGAGCAATCTTTTTCACTTTCCACCACTGGCTATCTTCTCATTGCTCTTTTAGCATCCAGCAGTCCATTTTGTCTTTTTTTATGCAAAATTTTGTTTATCTTTCAAAATATTAGGAGTTTTTTTTTTCAGGTTTAGGTTTGGTTGATATTTATTACGTTGTTTTCCTCATCCTCCTCCTAGCTGCTTCTTGTTGCAGCATCGAACTACAGTCCTTACGATGCAGCAGTGTATGCAGCAGCGAACAGTTATCTGCAGTCCAAGGCGGCCGGCACCAGTAATCTGTGGATGGGAACGACCAAGAAAACGGGCTCCGCTGGTTTTGGCGGTTCAAGTTCGTTTTCCGGCATCACTTCCTCAAATATCGCTGTCACCGGTGGTGGAAGTGGTGGTACGGGACGAGGTGGACAAACAGGACAGAGAGGTGGGGTAATAATGCGCAAGGCATGAGCACTGAGCTGCTTAAATGCATCAGAAGCTTTCTTTTCTCACACTTCTTTTCTCACGATTTTTATGTTGTGCAGCATCCACGTCATTCCGGAAAACCCAAAAAAAACGACGAAAAATGAATTGTTTCATCGAGAGGCTGGATTTGACTTACTTCGGGACTCCATCTCATAGCTGCTTTCATCGATTTTTGAGGTCTGTGTAATTTGAGTTTTAAAAATTGCAAATACTGTTGGCCATCAATTTGAAAGCACATGTTTTGGGTTAATTTTGGGTCGAATTCATTCTCGCTTTGTGTTGGCAGGTTGAACAGATTTTGTGACCAAGTCTGACTCTTCGCTTGTGTGCACATCAATCTTTTCGTAGCAGATGCTATCATTGAAGAACCCCCTTCCCCCCGTCCCCTATTACAAGTGATCTCACTCAAGTCGGCTCTAAGAGTGGTCTATTTACACGGGTCAATTTTGGTAGTTTTCTCCAGTGGGGGGAAGTCTCAGACTTATCAAAATGGCCCGAGCATTCGGTATGCCATCCCGTGTTGGTGAGGCTGTTGGGATGGTGCTGCACGCCAGGTAGTTCGATTGTGTGGGTTTGCCTCTAGTTGCCACCTGCCTCCTTTTGGATATGTGTACACCACGTTTTCGGAGATCGCGCTTGGTCACCGGTACCACTTAGTAATAACACACCCTTATGATTTCAGTCTTCTGGCTCCTCGGATCCTCGAGTTATGGACCTGAGCGGAAAAAAATTTGGCGGTCCGCTAGGCGAGCATCGCGCTTGCCTGGAGAATGGTTTTTGGCTCATCAATACTCACTTGCATTGGGAACATCCCCTTATGATTTCAGCCTTCTAGCTCCTCGGAGGAGATGCTCGCTGGTTGCGGTGAGATGAGTGGATTTTTGATAAATCAGGCTTTTTTTGGTATCTGTTCTGCCTTTTTGGGGAGTTCTTCGCATTACGTGGGGTAGGGATGTAGCAGAGAGGGAGGGGAAGAGGGGTAAGCGATGGGGAGTGGTGCTAGAGTTGTTGTGCTGTCGAAAATCTCATGTGGACTTGTGATTGCTCTTTTATAAAGCAATTTTTTGTTTTATATCTCGTAATTGCTCTCCCCCTCCCCCCTTTGCCCTCCTACCCATGCAACATCACATGCGACTGGTGAAGAATGATGCCCCTGCTTGCATTACCAAGGCGCCAAGACGAACTTGGTGTTCGGGACGAAATTTTAGACCACGGCTTTCAGAATCCTTTATTTTCAAGCATTTTTACGTTTCCGTGTGCGACTCCCCTAATTTTTGAAGTTGTATAGATTTCCTACATCTTTTGACTCAATTTTTCTCTTCATAAGCCAGGGATTGTCTGTTTTTTCTGTCCTGTTCTATGAGTATGCCACTGATTTATATTTCATACTGCACGATCTCATTTTCCACCTTAAAATTGCATCTCTAACACTCACCCTTGTTGTAAGTGACGGATTTTTAAGGTAAACTTTAGAATTGCTTTTTTTAAGAAGTTGCATTTCAAAAGCAAAAAATTGTAGTTTAGTTACAAAGAGCTTGCAAGTTGTACCGTTGCTACTGCATCTTTTTGACCTTTTTGGTCTCTTATGAAAAGAGTCTGTTGTTATAAACTTTCAAGAAATGCATATTCCATCTCTAACTCATACACTGTGTGTGAAAATTTGCCCGTCACTTGCCTGCACCTCTCAACTCACCCACATACCCTTCTCAAATCTTCATCTATTGAAGTAGCAGCATTTCTCCATAAAATAGTTGTGTGTGTGCCATTTCCAGGTCGTGGAGTTTTCCCCAACAAACGTTTTGGTAACACACGGCCCACCGATATGCAGCAATTCTATTGTGAAGTGTGTAAAATCAGTTGCGCCGGTGCACAGGTATGTTATTTTTGGTCCCTATTTCTTTGTGTTACTGTGTTACATGCCAAGCAGAAATGAGGATATTTCATGTGATGTGTATGTGTGTGTGTCTGTGTGTGTCTGTGTGTATGTGTGTGTGTCTGTGTGTGTGTCTGTGTGTCTGTGTCTGTGTCTGTGTATGTGTGTGTGCGTGTGTGTGTGTCTGTGTGTGTGTGTCTGTGTATGTGTGTGTGTGTGTTTGTGCGTGTGTGTCTGTGTCTGTGTATGTGTGTATGTGTGTGTGCATGTGTGTGTGTTTGTGTGTGTGCACGTGTGTGTGTCTGTGTATGTGTGTGTGTGTGCGTATGTGTGTGTGCGTGTGTGTGTCTGTGTGTGTGTCTGTGTGTCTGTGTATGTGTGTGCGTGTGTGCGTGTGTGTGTGTGTGTGTGTCTGTGTGTGTGTCTGTGTGTGTGTCTGTGTGTGTCTGTGTGTGTGTTTGTGC